TGTAACGGTAGCACACTCGGCGCGTATTCGAGAGGTCTAGGTTCGAGTCCCGGCGAGGGCATTGCTCATTTTTCATGTGTCCTGTTTCAAAATAGCCTAATGACTCTATAGTATTATATTTTGTGTAACACAGAATAATTGCTTAAATACATGTTTTTATTACTATTATATTAGAATAAAACAGTTGCTACAAATTACTTCTTGCGCTTTCAAAACCATCATATTTTAATACGTATTTAACATTCACTTGAATTGCCTAATTTTCTGTATATTTTGTAGACATCAGAGATAGGTTACTTATTTTATTTTTTTCCTGTTGTTGGCAAAAATTATTAAGGCAAAAATATGGATTATCCTCTTATTCGCATATTCCTTTGTTGGCAGATCTATCCATTCCCTCCCTTGTGTGTGTTTTTTTTTCTCTTTTTCCTCATTTCTTCCTCAGGTAAGTCAATTAGCTTCAAGAAATGAGTGCTAAGTACTTTCACGATGCCTTCATTTGATCAATGAATATCCTTAATATATGCATCTTGACGGGATGATTTTCTGGCTGATTCCTTCTGGAAGAAGTGCCAAGAATACTTTTCGCCCGTTCACTGATGGAACAAAAAAGACGGCTTTGGATAAAAGTCATGCAATACGCTTAACCTATTGTTGCTAAATCTTATCTGTTAATGCCCAAAAAATTAATAAACTTTGAAGTTTTATATATTTTTAAACGAAAAAAAATTATGCAAAAGCAACTCATTTTTCTGAAAAGAATTTTTTACCGTAATATAATCACCTGTGATAGTCTCTGAAATTACTCTGAAACGTTTGACGCCATCGGCACGTCTATTTGTGTTTATGCCAAGCAGAGATTGCCATAAAGCACAAATAACCTCCTGCTTACTGTCGTAATGAATCCCCCTTAGTGATTCTTTCATTTTTCGGCGCAGCGATTACAATCACAAGAACTGACGTCGGAACACTATGTCTAACACATCCCGACAGAACAGTTCTCAAGACAAATTTTCCAGTACCTCCAGTTTCCACTGTCGCAAGATATCCATGGCAGCCATCGCCTTACGACACAGTACATTGCTATGGAGAAGGATGGTATTTGTGACCTAAGAAATTTGCATCCAGCACTCAGAAGAAAGGGATGACACATGTTGATGACTGGTGAAGGAGAGCGGGGAAACCTGATGTCTAACATAGTTTAAAAAATGTATGTCTCATGTTTGTGTTCACGCCACGCCCATGTTTCAAATCTACTGAACGTTCTCAGCAGTAACAATGCTTACATCAGCTGAACATGACTAACTAATGAACTTACGAACAATTTATTTAACTGTTAAGAACTTTAATTCATGAAGTAACAGCAGTACAATATAAAATAACAGTGCCGTTATGACGAAACAGCAATAAATACTACTTTTTGTTTAATTTTTTCCCTATATGTTTAATTTTATGTTCTGTGTTATGTGAATGTATGTATTGTAAATCCACGTTGTATGTGTATATTGTAAGTAATGCATAATTTATGGTGTTATGTGTATATGCTATGTTTCATAATTCTATATGAATCCCAGGGATGCCACGCTGGACTACTAACACCATTATAACCAATGTAAAACCAATAACTATGCAATATCTTGCGCTTGAAGTATATAAACTCCCAGGGCGGCTCTCTTGTTGCCCCTGGGAGCTGTTGCTCTGGATCCTCCATAACAATGAGTGGAGTCATAAATCAAGCCTGTTGTCAGGGTGGTGTTGAGTAGAACTGGAACAACCACCATACTTAATTAGTATACATACATCGGACTATGTTATCTTTGGCAAAATAAATTGCAATAACAGAGAGGAGTTAATTAGGAGGAAAAAGAGAGAGGAGCAATAATATCGCTGCTTCCGGGCGTTTCCTGTGCAGTTACAACAGGATTGGGATTGCTGGATGATGTACAGCTTCTTCCAATAATTTGGAAAAAATTGGTAGACATACCAGGCGATTATATAGAGTGATTGTAAGTATTTGTAGCTATCGTAATAGATCTTCTAGGAATATTGAAGTGTTATGCACATTTAATCCAGCACTATGTAATCGAATCTCAATTTCTAAAATTAGAGTTACATTAGTTAGTCGAGTCTAAAATGTAACGAATATTCTCCGCTAACATAACGATTTCTCATACTTAAAACAAGAGAAAAATACACTGCCTTTTAGCGGACTTTCCCTGGCAGTATGCGAAATACTTGGACCTGTGAATGTCCGCTATAAAAAGGTTCAGTTGTACAGATATTCATTGTGTGAACACTGTAAAATATATCCTAATTCCCCATTAGCACACTAACGAAATCAAAGGTTCAATTCGTTAAGAGGCAGCATCTGTTAAAATGGGAGTCCATTGGTCTCGTACTCTCGTACTGCGATGAATACGAACATTGGGGAACTATCCGTTAATGGAGAGTGTTGCTAAATTAGAGTGGTCGTTAACGGAGTTTCGACTCTGCATACTAATCTTTTAAAAAGGAAAAAAAATTTTTTTAATGATCAGCTTTCCATTTCACTGATTCAGTATTACTTTTTTGTCTCGTGATTAAGATAAGGATGGTTTTCTTGAAGAAGTTCCTTTATTTTAGTACCTGTGATTAAGGCGATTTTTCACAAACGCTACAAAACAAATCTTTAAATAATTGGTAGACTAGAAATTTGTGAAAAGTCGTGTTAGACTTACTTACTGCTAATACACATTCTTTCCAAAAGCGATTTTAATATTTTTAAAGTATCACGGAAAAGTTTTTTTTCCAGCACGCTAGAATATTTAGCTATTTTTAAATGACAGAAGAAAGCAAAAAAACTAGAACTGAATGCCTCTTTCAGAATTTCGTTCCTTAATGGAATAGTAGGCAGTTTTAATAGTATTGATTCGCAACTATGTGATATCAGGTTATAAACAAGAAGGAAAGTTTAAACTTTTTTTACTTGAAAATATAACTTTATTTAATTAGGTATCGTCTGTTTTTGTCGATTACATTTTGCCATCTTTCAGGCAGTGTCATGTTCATAAAACCTCTGATTTTTTGTCCATAAAAAACTGAATTAAATTACATTTTACATCATCAGCGTCATTAAATACAGGAGTTCTGCATGGAACGAAATAAATAGAAATCTGAAGGCGCAATGATCAATGTGATCTGAAGGCGTATATGATCTGAAGGCGTATATGATCAATGTGACAACACATCCCAGCTCAGCTTCAGTACTTTTTTGGTGAGTGACCAAAGATGTGTGGCGCTTTGCATTATTATGTTAGAAAACAACAGCCTTACGATTTCCCAATTATGGCCGCTTTCTTGAACTGCATCTCTCAGAGTTGGTGAGTTGTTGAACGTGGACATTTAAATTAATCGTTTAGGCTTTGGCAAAAGTTTAAAGTGCAGAATTCCTTTAAAATCCCACCAAACTGATAGCATAATCTTTTTTTTTTTTTCGATAATATCAGCTTTTGATGTTTAGGTTGTTTCATCCTTCTTCATCCAAGATCTTTTTCGATTAGCATTTCTATAAACTATCCACCTTTCATCTCCCGTAATCAATCGTTTTAGTAATGGATTTATTTCGTTGCGTTTCAGAATCGAATCTTGGATGCTAATGCGTTTGCGTCAAATAAATTTCCTTAAGCCCATAAATTATGGACCCATAAGTTAAGTTTCTTAACATAACCAAGCTGTTTCATTTTTTAATATACCTACGTATGCGATACATATAGAGCTTCTCTGCAATATCACGTATTGTTCTATGATGATCTGAATCGATAAGTGTCTTGATATGGCTCTCATCAACTTTAGTTCGACTGCCAGATCATTGCGCATTTCTGAGTGAAAACTCACTTAAAATTTGAATTTTTGTAATCGCCAACTTTTATAATTTTTGCAGGTGTAATATTTTTCTCCGGGTCGCCAAACCGGTATATTGATAAATGATCCTGCTTCCCGTAGCAATGGGTCCGGGTTTGAATCCCAGAAAAGAATATCCGTCCCTTCATGGGACGCAACGGAGGCCATCTTTTAGGCGCTTTCATAATAAAATGACCACGACTTCCGGCTTTTGTAGTTGCGCAAGGTTAATGGCTATTAAATTAAAGTTCCATGCCATTAAAAAATATATATATTTTTCTCCGGATTTGTGAATAAGCGTGTGTACTTTTCTTCTAAATTTTTTCTTGATTTCAATCCCACGTAAATAACAAAAATGACTAAACATAAGTATGAATTAGAGAAAAGTGAATTTACTTACATTGAAGTTATGGTAACATGAAGGAGACTGAATAGTATATTCTATGTTACCTTAACTTTCTTTCATGTTACCATCGTGGTTATTCATACAATGAATGAGAATTGAAGTATTGAATTTAATTAAACTCAAATTATTAAATTTCGCTAAATTATGTCAATGGTATTTAATTAAAAATTATTATATTATTGCCTGCCACTGCGGATTATTATACGACAGCCACTGCGGATTAGTGGCTGTCGTATTAAACAATCAATTAGGATGAGAAAAAAAATCACAATTTATGATAAATAATTATAAATATTCGTATATAATGCACAGCGCAATAAATAGTTCAAGGAGAACGTAGGTATTAAGCAACTTCTCCTCAGCGCATTAAAATTATTGTAAATTATGTATCACTTACAGTGTAAACTTTAAACGCAAACTGAATTCTCTTTAAATCCAAAACTTTAGAGCTAATTAATAAACAATTCGTCCAGAGTCTCAAAGATATATTTATAATGTACTACAGAGGTTTCGAGAAAAACTGCTCCTACATTTACGAAATTTTTTTTGGAAATTTCGAATCTTCCAAAAAGTCTCCAAGTTGGTACGAATTTGTCATATGCTGTCAAGGCTCGAATGGAGCGTCTTCACCTATATCTCGCGTTCTAATAAGGATATTTTTATAATTTAAACTTTGATGGGTTCAAAAGTGAAAGATCTATTATTTTACTTTCAGATTCTTGATTTCACTGAAGACAGATTCCTATGCTTCCGTTCGTTCCTTTCGTTTACAAGACCTTCTTTCACAAGCTCCAGCCCTTCGTAAAGTAACCATCAACATTGAGGAGTCTACGTTATCCCACCAAGTTCAGAGGGCTTTTGGAACCAAACTGAGAGAATTAGTTATTACTGGTTCCAACCTGCAAAGGATATTGCCTGATGCTTTCGCTGGTTTATCCACGCATGAACTTACGATACGAATTAGTGGCACTTTAGTGAACAAATTCCCGGATGGATTGTTACGCTACCTTCCAGACGTTCGTTACCTTACTTTGGATTTTAGGAACAACCAGCTTACGACGATGGGCCCTGAAGTTCTTGCAGCTGTAACGAAAGAAGGATCAGATATTCATCAAACACAGCATATAACAGGTAACTTATTCATATAAACATAGAATGCAAAAACGTTAAGTGATAGTCACATATTTAAACTTTAACAATACACTGCTCTATGTACATTGTCAAACAGTATTACATGATATAACAGAAGATAAAAAAGTACGATAAAAAACTAACTGAAATATCACTTTATCATCCGAAACACATCTATTCAATTGCTTAATAATCAAATTCCAGTATATCCTAAGGGTATACTGGCTGTGTTCCAGATACGTTCTCTGAAGATAGGGAAGTGTCTTGTCAGTGAGACATTCCAAAGACGGGAGAAGAGTGTTCTGTGTCTAGTAAGTGCCAGCGACAGTCTGTGTGGGTAGGAGAAGTTTCCGATCAACGGAAAGTTATATGTCTGTGGACCATCCAAGCCAATAGCGAAGTTTCTGGTCGGTAGGATATCCGATCTATGGGGATGAGGAAAGTTTCCTACCAGCGGTATATCTCAGATACGGTCCGTGAGAAGTTGTCTATTGGTTGGACGTCCCAACGACGGTTTGTGGAAGTCTGTCATGGAACGACTCAGTGACGCGCACTGTAATGTAATATACGAGTGTGCTACAACCCTTTAGGCTGATAATAATCGGCTTCGTCATTAAAGCAGCACACCCAACAGAAACAAACAGGAATACAGTCAAAAAGATCAAAACAAAAGCTTAAAACACAGATTCAAACAGGAATACAGTAAAAAATATCAAACCAAAATTCCCAGTATTGTTTTATTGCCATTTATAAAATTATCAAATCTTTGTAAATCTAAACTCTTTACTGCGGCAGTAGAATTCCCTTATGTTACCATGTTTTTTCCTAATATGTAGCAGTAATACACAGTCTTCGACGAAATGTCTTGCATTGCCTTTAACACTACAAAAACTACAAAGGCTGTTTTTTGTAAATTAAATCTATTCAGGTACGCTGGGAATCCTCCGTATTCAGTAATTATTTGATTTTAAACAAAATCACATATCATTCGATGTTTTTGGAAACTTCAAAGTTCAACAAATAATCTTTCCTTTTTCACAAAATGTCCCATTTCCCTTTCCAGCAATCATAATAGAAATCCTTGATTTTGCTAATAACATTTTTTTTGACGGGAAGTGTATCCTGTCAGTGGGATCTACCACTAGATGTCTATGTGAGCAACTGTTCTAATGCTGGGAAGTCGCAGCCACTCTTTTGGGGGCTTTCCTTCGGTGGGATGTCCAAGCGAAGTTTTATGAAGAATTTTCCTGTTAATGGAAGATATCTGCAGGGAGAAATGTCTTTTCGGTGGCACGTTCCAGCGACAGACCATCGCTGGAATTTGCTAACGACATAATACATCCACCCTACACGTAGTCGCTGAACATCCTACCAACAGCACTATTCCTCCCATAAAAACCGTCCTACAGACAGAAAAAATTCCCATTCAGTGGGGCATCTCGCCAATACGAAACTTCTTTTCCACAAACCGTCTCTGGGCGTCCCAACTACTAATTTCCTACTTCGCAGATTATATACAAATTCATATGCGTAAATGCGCATGATAAAACCATTACTTTTTTATAGTCATGTTAGACTATGAACCATTGTATTACATTGCGAATAAATTATCTATGAATATATTAGCTTTATGAATTCGATACTTATAGGGCGGGACAAAGTTTTATAAACGCTTAATCTATTGACCTTAATAGAAATGACTCTGTAATTAGTATATTTTAATTCATATTGAAGCAAACGTTCCGTAAATGAATTTTTGAAGAAAATGAGATTAGTAAACAAGTCTTTTCTGTGTATCATATTTTTATATGGTTATTTCAGGTGGAGTTCTATTGGAAGAAAATCCTTGGAGTTGCAGCTGCGAGCTTCTGTGGCTCGGACGATGGTTGAGGCGGTGGCTTCGAGAAACATTTCATGTGCATTTGCTCAGCGTAGAAGCAGCTCTGTATGTCAGCAGTGTTTCCAGAAAAGCCACATGTCTGGTACAAGGATCTAACATCAGCCTAGCTATAATAGACTTAAAACAGTCCGATGTCAAATGCGAAAAAACTGTTAATAAGGCCGCCATTTCTGTTTCTTCCTTTTGGACATTTTTTACCATTGTCATAGGTTTGCGTTTTGCACAATATGCTCAAGCGTAATCCTTGTGAAGTTTCCATTGTATTAAGAATAGTGAAACATTTATGGATTTGAAATAAATAAAACTTTTTAACTAAAGAAATTCAATGAAATAAATCATTTATTATTTTTTACTTATGCATTATTTTAATTAATCTAACTACCAATATTTTAACAGAAACATTGATAACTGCTGTTAGGTGCAAGACGTTAATGAAAGAAAACTAGTAAAGGACGGAACATGGTAGATTATTAAAGGTTGAAATCTTAGTTGTGGATCAGTTTAAAAATATTTTTTTATCTCGTGATTGAAAAACTATAATATTAGATGTTTTTGTACATAATCACCATGAGCATATTCTCAGACATACGTAATAAGTGACTTATATAAATTTACTCTAACATAATGAGCAAATGCTGTAATATTTAAAGTAAAACCTACTATTTGTAAATCAAAAGAATAGAACTATTCCTCCTTTCCTCTTAAAACTAGCTCACTAATAATAAATCAAAGTACAAAGATTCGCATTTTCCCTAGTGAAAACCTTTAGAATAAAATGTAAGCTCGAACACGAGAAAATTACTTCGACAATCCCTCGGATGCCTACATATTTTTATAATAAATACTAGCAGCTTCGCTGCTAGCCTTCGTCTGGCTTTTAAATGTACCGGAAAAATGGCTGAAGGGAAAAATGGCTGAAAACCAAACGTTAAATTAAAAAACTTCATAGAATTTTACTCTGCAGAACAACTTCATAAAAAAAAGTTATTACGTATAACAAAATTACAATGAAATAAGCAATATTCCTTAATACAAATATTAATTATCCTAATAAATAAATTAACCTACTTCCCTTTGCAAAATCTTAAGAACTCAAATGGTATAAAGGAGATTAAAAACTTTGTTTCCTAAAAAAAAATCACTCAAAACTTTTCAATATCAAAAACAATAAAATGGGCAATAAGTAACATAAAAGAATACAAAAAACAAAAAATTCTGAAAAGCAAAGCATAATTAATGATATTTTATCTTATATTTTTAAGAGGAAAAAAATTACAATGAAATAAGATATATCCCTTAATACAGGTATTAATTATCCTAATAAAAAAAATTAACTAACTTTCCGTTGAAGGAAAAAAATCATGCAAAACTTTTCAATATCTTACAAACAATGAAATAAGCAAAAAATAACATGAAAGAAACTCAAAAAAAAATTCCGCATACAATTTTACTCTGCAGAACAACTTTATAAAAAAACATCAATAAAAATGTATCCACTTTGATGAAGGAAGATACACTTATTTCTTCTCTAAATAGTAGACTAGGTGAGTGTTGACCATCTTTTCGATCAGTTTGAAAAGGCAGCTAGTTAAAGCGATGGGGCGGTAACTAGAGGCATTTTTAAGGTCTTTACCTGGTTGGGCAATTGGGATAATAATTTCTGGCCTCTATGCATTGGGAAATACATGCTCTTTCTGTACTCTTTTGAAAAGAAAGAGGAGTATCAAAAACTTTCAATTTCCCTGAAATTAATATATATATTTCAAACTTTAGAGTATGAACTTTCTAATGATGTATGAACAAACCTCTAACTCTTATTCCTATGTGTATAAAGAAGGTCTGCAACAAATTCTGCAAATGCCCATATTTGACGAATACTTTAGGTAATGTGGGCACGCTACTTTAATAAAACAATTAGAAAAGACTGTCGTCTTTACATTTACCTTTTCCAAATAATAATGCATTTTTAGACAAATTATAAGTTTGGCAAATGGTAAGAAGTAAAATTAAACTTTGGTTATTGAACAAACTGTATCACAAAAACAATGTCCAAATTTTTATCTATAAATTAAAAATAATTGAAAATCAGATAACCTATTAAAGTAATACAAATTGTTAAAAACTTAAAGAAGAACAACTCTTAATTAGGACTTATGTTATACGCTACACTCATGAGAATAGAAAGAGTCAGCCTCTAACTCAACACATTCCTTATAGAACCAGGATGAACAAGAGCCAAAACATTGCACCTATTATTGTTCTTGATTTTCATCATAATTGCTTCTTGAAAAGAAAATATCATATTATTTTGGTACTGTTCATATTACCTTTAATCTTATTACTTATATTTGCTCTAATGGCATTATTCAATAGTTCGCATTACTGCTGTCGAAGGGAGAAAGAACGACATCGGGCACTACTGCCAACGGATGCTATACTCACATAAGATTGCAGCCATTTATAGGTATCATGTAAAATTAATTAATTTTGTGTGTTAAAGCTTAAGTAAAATAACTAAAATAAAGCAGCAACCGTAATTTAAATATCAGGTAGTTGTACTTACATTAGAAATTGTCCATTTGCGCTTCTTTTTCAACCGCACAACATCACAAACTAATCACACAGTCGCCATGATATATGAGCATTGTCAACGCCACATTGCGAATGCACCAAATCAAAACCATTACGTGTAATATGAACATTTGCTTAAATGTTCCCATATTACCTTAGAGTACATATTTACCAAGTTTACCCTATGGTAGTATGGTTAAAATTCTGATTAACTGCACCTTTTGATCTAAGTAACCTAGTATTAAATTCAGTATGCAATATTTAGTATTTTCGTGTAGTGACAAATGACTGCACATAATATATATATTTAGTTTAGTATGAGTGAAATGGATAGTTTAGTATGAGTGAAATAGATAGATAGTATGAGTGAAATGGATAGTTTAGTATGAGTGAAACAAGACAAACCTTAAAGTCTATATTCACAAAGTAAATTTGTGAAATACCAAATGTACAGAAGCTCCTAAAATGAATAAAAAAAATCAATGATAGACATGAGAAAAATACTATGTCTTACGGGAAAGATCGGGGTTTTTAAATAAACCCAAATATTAATAAATCGTGTGGCATGTACTGATGCTGTATGCATACACAGATACTGTGCTGGAAAAATTAAGTCACCTCTTGAGGAAAACAATTTTCTGTAACATAGCGTATGTTCGCCTCAGACAAATATGCTAACATCACATCTTAATTTCTTAGTCTTTACCAAAGTGTTGATCACGTCATGTGGAATTGAACGCCACATTAAAAGACATAAAGTGCACTTTTAAGTTCCTGGAGGGTTTTGGGAGGAGTTAGGCATGCTGAAATCGGTGCCCAAAGACCTCTTACACATGCTTAATCTGGTTCAATTCGGGCGAGTAAGGTGGCCAATCCACTCGAGTGATATCTGCTGTCTGCAAGTATTCTGGCACCACATATACTCGATGAGAATTATCATTGTCATCCATTAGCAAAAGCTGGTCAAACAGCACTACTAAACAATCCAACTTGGCATTCCAATACCTCGTTCACATATCTCCGAGCGGTTGTAGAACCTCCTTGGAAGATGATATGCAGCTCTGTACGGAAATTTGTCGTGATTCCTCCCTAAAACCATTAAACCGCGGCCTCAGAAACGGAATATTTCTCGGACAACTTAAAGGAAGCTGCGTGTTTTTTCCTCTCTCCGCGTCAAAAGACGTCTAGATTCACTATTCGGACTATACCTAGACTCGTCAGTAAACAATACTCAGGTCTTGTCGTCTTTGCTCCATTGAATATGATGATGGCACTAGTTTAAATGGGCCCATTTTTAAGCTGGTGTAAGTGGGACACAAACCATTGGTTTGCTCGCATGCAAACTAACCTCATTAACTCCTTGTGCAGCAGAAGAATGACTAATTCGAGTTCTTGTGGAAGCCTTAATATCTAAACCTAAATCTTTTTTTTTTTTTTTTTTTTTTTTTTTTTTCGGTTTCTTCGAGCCGACAACGACAGAAAATCTTCTTCTAATGCGGCAGTTGCTCTTGGTCAGGCTGTCAACTGATTCATTGCTTAAAAAGCGGCTCCAAACTCTTGATATAATATTTTGAGGGATATTCAAATCTTGGGTGACCGTCATTGGGGTTTGACCTCTCTCGATTCTACCAATTTATTCGTCACTTTTGACCTTCACTTAGATGGAACCTTTCAGCCATAGCTACTGAATACTGATAACTCTCAGAAACCACATTCTCTTTAAACCGCACTACAAACCGGAATTCCAACATGCGCCCATTATGCAACACATTCTCATTTACCGAATTTTTTCATATTTCTGAAGTTAACGTATGCGGGGAAGTGCAATTTTGTGTTTAATTGCATTTAATTAACATAAATAATTACAACATTAACTTACTGAAGGTATTTTCTCTTGTTATCTTAGTTACTACAACAATTTTTTAAAAAATGCATATTTTTAGCTATAAAACGGCCTAAACAGGACGTTTTGCTTCATTTGAAATATTTTGTAACTGGAAGCGTATGTCTATTACTAATGGTTTCAAAGCAAAGGCCTTCTAAGAAATTTGCGGACACTTATATTGAAAACTTTTCAAGCTTTCAAAATACCATAAAAACGCATACGCAAACAATCAAGAGTAATGTAACTATAAATTTTAAAAGCAGATTAATTTAAATTATAAATCTCAGTCCCTTTAATGAAATGCAGAACATTTAAAATTTAGCTCTTTACATGGAAGGCATCAAAACTTTAATTACTCACGGATTTCAAATTTTATAAAATTTTAAGTTGTGTTCAAAAATAATGTTACAGTTTAACCATACGTTATTTTATGCATGCTAAATTTTCTTCATAATAAATTTATAAAATGTTTTAAATTAAATATTCTGTACTTTTTATTGTAAACAGATTTTGAGGACTTTCCTGGTTTGTTTTAGACTTAATGGCATGTGGGCTACACAAAATTAAAATTAATTATGAAATTTAAAATATTTGATAATCAAATAACGATATTACAATTCCATATTTTAACGATATTACAATATACATAAATAATCGAATTAAATATAACTATAAGCATTGAAAGACCGTATAAAATGTTAGATTTTGTAGTTGATTTTTTTTATTATTATTATTTTAAAACGCCACAGCATGAAAACTTGAACTATTCAAAATCGTTTTGCTCTTGGAAGTATATATCAACAAACAAATTAAGCAAAGGTTGGATAAGCAGTTTTTGTCGACACGGTATTATATTCCAGTGTGT